AGTAGCTTTAGCATCTCTTGGAATGTTTAGCTCCTAACTATTTCTAGGTAACTTTGTATTTGAGACAGATGAAAGTAATTTAGAAATAATTAGTCTTTTTCTTCTCACTGAACACAATAATCTGGGATGTAAAAATTCTGTCCTCAGAATCATAAATACAGAGAACAAACTGATGGTTGCCAAAGGGGAGGAGATTGGGAGGATGGGCAAAATAGCTGAATGGGATTAAGAGGCACAAACTTCCAGTTACAAAATAAGTAAGTCATGGTTATGAAAAATATAGCATGGGAAATTTAGTCAGTAATACTGTAATAATATCGTATGGTGTGGATGGTAACTACACTTATCCTGGTGAGCACAGTTGTCTAGAACTGTTGAATGACTGAAACTAATGTAACATTGTATGTCAACTGTATGTAAAAATAAAAATAAGTAAATAATAAAATTACCATTAACGAAATCTGTCTTAACCAACTGTATTACCAAGAAATATAATCCTAAATATTTTTATGCAGGAAAATAACTAGAAAATTATGTCTTTGTTGTTACAGTCAGTTTATTTCTAGATGTTACTATAAGAGAAAACCCAATATAAGATGGAAGTAAGTTACTTTTACAGTATTCTTTGTTGACTAAAATCCTCTGATAAAAATATGCTTTTCAGGTGCTTTGTGCTCTATTAGTTGAAAGAAATCTCTAATTTATCCATGATCATAATATTGAGAGCACATGCAGAGATGTCTTTGGGCAATCTTATTTCCAAGATTCTTTCTAGCTACACGATTTTTTTCTTCCATTTCTTATTGCAATTAGGAGCCATCTTATGGCCTTATTAAAAACAAAACAAAACAAAAAAACCAAACAGGCCCTGCCATTTTAAACAGTTAGAAACTGCTTACTGATCAGAGAAGAGACAAGTAGTGACAGAATGCTATTTTGTTAAGAAACCACGGGTGATTCTTACTTGCTTCTAAGAGTGCCCCAGACTTGCCCGGAGGGTTCTCCGTTCTACTTCCTTGAGCGGCTCGAGCACAGCGCGGGTAAAAATCTGCTTCGCGAGGACAGAACTGTGTGCGCTGTTCTTTTCCTGATAGGAATTGGAGAAGGGAAGGGTTCTCTTTCCTAGACTCTGGCAGTGACTTGAATGTTTACATTGTTAATGCTCCGAGCACAGGTAATGGCAGATTAAAACACGACCAGCAAGACCAACAGAAACAAAGGGTTTATTGATAAGGATCGCCTATTCATGACAGAAGACAAGGAGGCAGTAGATGAAGTTGCAGGGAATAGGGGCAAAGAAAAGGAAAATGGGAGGTAATGCTAGCCTTAGGAAAAAAGAGCTTGAGGTTTGAGGAAGGAATCCCTTAGATCGTTTCTCGTCTCGTTGCTCTCATAAATCAGACATCGAGTAAGATGGGTAATAAATACAGTGTTCTAACAATTCAGAGTATTCTGCACTTACCTGGAAAGTAAGACACAGTGAGGCTGAGAGGTTTAGTACAATTAATCACTTGAATGAAAAAGTGTTCTGTATGCATATACTGATCATCCGTTGTGCTTCAGTAGTTAACTCTTGTAGTTTTAATTGAGTATCCAGCATTCTCTTGTTTTTTTTTTTGTTTGTTTGTTTGCTTGTTTTTGCAGACTCAGGCTTTTTGCCTTTGTTATCCTTAAAATGGGAAACACATTTTATGCGAAGTTTCCAGAGACGGTGTTTGCATGTATATGCACCATGGCATGTGTGCACCTGTGCATGTATAAACACAGTGAATTGGGCTCTCACCGGCCGAGGGTTTGTACTCACCTGGGCTTTATTGCCTATAGCCTAATGGAGGGAAATTTTGCTAAACAATTCATTATATAAAAATCTTGGCCTCTTTAAGAGTCTGCAGATTATTTTCAAGATTTCCTAAGTAACACTTTTCAGACATGCATGTGCTACTTTATATGATCTCTCTGGGCATTGAAGCCTGAATGGCTTTTTGGACCTGTCCTGTCGTGGGTCAAGTTCCTGAACTCCTTTTTATCTGTACCATTCGCAGTGTTTCTGAAGTTGTTTATATAAAACTGCTTTTCTTTAGTGGTCTCTCATTTAGTCTTTTCGGATGCAGACTATTCCATTAATATCTTGCAAGTACCGTAGATCATAAATAATTGTTAAACATATGTTTTAATGAAAAATGTATAAATGTGAGTAAATCATCACATTAATCATAACAGGATTTGGACAAGAAATTAGTATAAAGATCTGTGGATTTTAATTTATAACAAAAATCCAAATATTTCAAAGTAAGATTTATTTTCCGTTCATGTGTTCATGTTAATTTCCTCATTTTGATAGTTTTATTACCATTTTGTACAACAATGTCCTTGTTCTTAGGAAGTGCATTCTGAAGTGTTTATGGGTAGGGACATTATATTTGTAACTTCAAATGATCTACAAATCATACATATAAATACATATAAATATGAATATGAATACAAATATATATACATATATATATGGACAGACACAAAGACACCCATACTGAGAGAGCAAGAGAATTATAAAGCAAATATGGTAAAATTTTAAAAATGGGAAATCTCTGGGAAGGGCACAGTAGAGCTCTTTATCCTTACAGGTTTTCTATAAGACTGAAATTATTTCAACGTAATTGAAACATATGTTCACACTGATGGTGAAATAGAAACTGTTGTAATCTTTTTTAAAGGATATTTTGACAAAATGTATGAAAAGCCTTAAAATATATATTCTTTGAACTAATAGTTCTACTTCTAGGAATCTAGATTAAGGAGATAATCACTGACATGTGCAGTGATGTACGTTTAAGAGTGTTCACAGAGGGCGCCTGGGTGGCTCAGATGGTTAAGCGTCTGCCTTCGGCTCAGGTCATGATCCCAGCGTTCTGGGTTGGAGCCAGGCATCGGGCTCCCTGCTCCTTGGGAGCCTGCTTCTCCCTCTGCCTCTCTCTCTCTCTCTGTCTCTCATGAATAAATAAATAAAATCTTAAAAAAAAAAGTGTTCACAGAATTTTATATATTTCAGCAAGGATGTAATACAGAAAAATCCTTACAATCATCTAAATATACATTATTAGAAGACTCACTTTCTAATTAGGACATGTCTGTTTACATACTTTGTGGTCTTTAAAACTCACGTTGTGGGGAAAAAATTGATTGTTTTGGACAATATTCACAATATTATCAATGAAAATAATCTAGTTATAGAGCAACATTTTTTTTATTGTGGTAAAATACACATAACCATAAAATTTACCAACTTAACCACTTTTCAGTGTATAGTCCAGTGATACAACCATCACCCTTCTCCATCTCCGTAGCTCTGTTCCTCTTGCAGTCTGTAACTATACCCATTAAACATTAATTTCCCTCAGCTCCTGGCAACCACCATTTTACTTTTTGTCTTTTGATTTTGACTACTCTAAATATCTCATAGAAGTGGAATCATACACAATATTTGTCTTTTTATTACTGGCTTATTTCACTTGATATAATGTCCTCAGATTCATCGTGTTGCAGCATATGCCAGAATTTCCTTCCTTTTTAAGGTTGAATAATATTCCATGTATGTATATACATATACCACATTTTGCTTATCCATTCATCTATCAGTGGGCAGTTGGGTTTCCTCCAAGTTTTAGCTATTGTGAATAATGCTGCTATGGACATGGGTGTATATAAGGCCTTCTTGTGAGATATTTTGCTCATAAACTTTTTTTTCTGTTCATTGAAATGATACTGCAAAGGCATATGTTAAAATGTTAGTAGTGACTTTCCTAAGTAGCGAGATGGTGGCGATTTTATTTATTTCATTAGTTGGTGCTTTTTAGTTTTTATTCATGGGATATATAATACTTTTGAGTGAAAAAAAAAAAGTTACACTGAGTAGGATAAGGTTCCCAGCCAAAATGTTTAGGTAGCCATGCTGTTAAAAGTATACAGCACAGTTGGAGAACTTCTTGTTCATAGTAACCAAAGTCATAAATTACAGTAATACCTTTAAAAATTAAATAACAGTAATCACTTTCTTGAGGGTTTATGATGCCCATAAGAACACTGCTAATTCTGTTACTACGTAAGTGCACCTGGTTTTAGGTCAGTTTTCTCAAAATATGTTTCAGAGACTTTTTGCATATAAATCACCTGGGATGATTGTAAAAAATAAAATACTTGGAATAAAAATCTCTGAGGCTGAATTCAGCAAATATGCATTTGTATAAAGCTCTCCAAGTTACTCTTATTTATATGAAGTTTGAGAAGTCATGCTGTAAGTAAATCTGATTTGTCAAGAACTGGAGTTAAAACAACATGAATATTTAATAATTTGTTTTAAAAAGGATCACACAACAATTCTTTGAGTAGAACATACCCATTGTTTTAAAACATGATGCAATTTATGGAAAAGTTAGCTATGTGGTTTTGAAAGGCATCTTCGTTTAAAGTGGTGCACCATCCATATATTCTATATTTGGCAACATTTGAGGAATCCTGTTCCTTTGTATCCATCATAAGATGACTGTGTGTTTTATGTACAAAGAATATAGATCAGGCTTTTATCCAAACTCATGATATGGAACACTTCAGAAACCACATGAAAAAAACCTGTAAACCCATCAACTGGATCGGAAATAAGATGAACAACCTACTTAAATTTTGGGGGCCTTGATCCATTTACATTTGTTCATACTTTGTACTTTTATTCTTTGTCAAGCCTGATCCTTCCAGAGGGGAAGAAATGCGCACTCTTGAAACAAGTGCCTAGATGAATTATGATTCAGACTAGTTGAACTTCTGTAATTTTGAATATATGTGTACATATTTACTGTGCAATATGCAGTATTGTTCTTCTCTGTGGGCAGATTAAAAGGACCTGGGACATCTCGCATATGGGGCTTAGCCAACACTTTTGGGAGAGTTGCTTCCTAATTTTTAAGTGAAAATATCCTCCGTATTATGGCTCCTTTTCTTTTTAATTTCAGATTTTGTTGACGGACCTATACACCACAAGGCCTTACTTATATCTGTAACTGTCTGTAGTTTGCTATTGGTCCTTATTATTTTATTCTGTTACTTCAGGTAAGTTTCCAACGTGTAGATGTAGAATTTTGGGTTTAAAATATCCACCTCATACGGCTATTCTACCTGTTGATGTTTTTCACCACAGCTTTCTTTGACTTAATCAAATCTTAGATTTCCCTGATAATATCAGTGACTATTGATAAATATTTGTCTTAATGAAGCTGTTAATAGATAGCTATCTCATTTCTGCTTCAGACATCAAAGTCACCCAGGTAAACTTCACCCTTAGGGAATTTAGGGTAGTTAGGGAATTCAGGAACTAGTTGTTACTAAGGTTTGATTCTGAGTGGAGAAATGGCCACGTTGAACCCAGAATCACTCTGGTAATCCCTTATTTCCTAAGCTAACAGTTTCCTCTTAATATGGAAAAATCTTCAACATGATTTATAGATTAGTTATTCAGATAAAATAAGCTTGACTGTTGAAGTTAAGTGACAGTTACAAATTATTTTCGTTCACCTAAGAACTTATTTTCTACTTTGTGAAATATCAAGGACCTTTAAATTTTTATCATTTGCCTTTTGTAACACTCATTTATGATACTGTCCTGCAAATAAGAGTTGATTCAAGTGAATTCATTTCTAATTGGAAGCATAATTATTGACAAAATGTTTCTAAAGTTGAAATTTATTTCATTTATCTGTATTATCGCTTTATACATTACCTGAGATGAGAGAGTTAGTTGTTATGTCTTTTGTAAATCCCACATTTTCATCTTTAATTAGGGACCTTAAGGGGAAAAATTTTAGGGAATGAGTATTGAAGCTATATGGAAATATTATTGGAATCCCTGCTGGGAAATAGGCAATTGAACGGGGAAGAATTATAGATGGTTGAGACCAAGTAAAAACATGTAGTTGGCTTAAAAATAGGTTAGCAAAATAATTATGATTCGTATTTTAGAAATCATAAGTAAGGATAATAAATACTAAAAATTTATCTTCTTTTGTGCTAAAATGAAATCTGCTGTGATTACTGTTTTATCTGCAGTGTTTTACCCCTATTGTTGCCACTCAGTATCTTAAATTATCTCTTTCTATACATCTTTAGGTATAAACGACAAGAAACCAGACCTCGGTACAGCATTGGGTTAGAACAGGATGAAACATACATTCCTCCTGGAGAATCTCTGAGAGACTTAATTGAGCAGTCTCAAAGCTCAGGAAGTGGATCAGGCCTCCCTCTGCTGGTATGAGAAGAACATATCTCGAATTTAAAGGAAATGCCTTCTGAGAGGAAATGTCAACAAACTACAGGGTTTCATTTTACTGAGATAGGTTAGCAGAGGAAGATAGGTTACGCCGTGGGTTAGACATCAGATCTCAGATGCAGGGCTTCCTGATAACATTTTGACATATCGTGGGTAAGGTGGTTGTTTTTTAATGTAAGTGTATGGTTACAATCCGGATCCTTAGACATTCTGATAAGAAGCAGATTAGAAAAACAGTGAACGTGGGACCGTCTTCCCTCTGTTTTCAGTAAGGATAACATTACCGAACTTTGGCCTGGCGTTTGAAGACAAAAGTATTAACAACCAACTGGGATCTGAGTATTTCTACAGGGGAAGAAGACTGCATTTCACCTGGAGAGCTTATGTTTCAGGGCGAAGTCCTGGCTTTTCCGTTTATGAGAGGTTTAATTTTCTGATGGCCAGCGCTGCCAACCGTGAAGAAAACATATAACGCATCCAAGGCACTTGTTTTAATGAAAAAAACATTTGGTTCCTTTATAGACCATGCAGAAAGATTGATGGGATGGAAAATAACAATTTTAATGAGAAATATTTTCCTTCGTAAATCCTTAAGATTGGTTTTCCTAATCTTTATTGTCTGCTTCTGACTTTGGATATCATGTTTACTTGATTGTTTTGGTGACCTTTTATTTTAGTACCAAAGGTGTTTTTTTTTTTTTTTTAAATCTCAAGTCAAGAATCAGAACTTTTTTGAGATAGGAGATCTATATATATTTAATGTATAAAAGTGTATATTTGATGTGTACAACTTGAAGAGTTTGGGGATAAGTGTACATCCATGAAAACATACCCACAATTTATGCCATAAGCATATCCATAATCTCCAAGGGTTTCTTACTGCCCATTTTATTTATTTTTTGTTATTTTTTTATTTTACGTGTAAGAACACATAACGTAAGATACGTAAGATCTCTTTCAGCAAAATTTTAAGAACACGCTGCTGTTAATTGTAGGCACTGGGCTGTGGGGCAGATCTCTAAGACTTACTCATCTTGCATAACTGAAACATTGTTCTCTTTTGATTAATATGTTCTTTCCAGGTGATAGACCAGACAGAAAACAAGTCATTAGGAGCAAACTGATACTACTCAGGATGAAGATTTTTTTTAATATAGAAGTTTTTATTATCAGATTTTTTATTCTTAGAATTCAATATGCAGCAGATACAGTTCTCATATTTAAAAACCTGTATTGTAATATTTTTTTAAAAAAGTAAAGTACAAATATGAAAATCCCTTTTAGTATTAATGAATCAGATGTTTATGCTCTTGGAACTGAAACCTACTTGTTTGCCAGTGTTTTCCTCCTTAGATGTCACGATAAATCTCAAAACAAAAGTACACTTTAAATTTCTGAATATAATTTAGTGACACTTTTTATCTTTGGATTAAGTTCCTATTCTTTCAAGCATTGCCAATTCCATTAGTACGTTCATTAAATTATAAGAAGATATATTATTGTTAGAAAAGGAGCGAACGCAAAACTGTTTGTGTTAGGAAATGTTCCGTAGATTTACATAAGCAATGCTTTGTAACATCTGTAAATTAAATATAATATCTCTGTAATAAATGTGGGAAGTTTCCTCTCAAGTCCATAATTTAACTACTAGTGGATTTGGCTCTCCACTGCTTAGTGCTGTTGAGGCTTCTGCTCCCCCATTTGGAAATGGAAATATACTGAACATTTCCTTGTATGGCATGTTTGACTCCTAAATTGTTCCTTACTTCCTTCAGACTAAGTGGCTTAATTGCATGTCAGCAATGTTTTGATTTTTCAATCCTTCTTTTTAGAAAATAACATTAAAAAAAAGATTTTATCTTTTCCCAAAAAGCTTTCAGTCTGATATTGGTGCTGTTAATGGCTCTGGCAATGGTTAGTATTACCTCTTGAATTAATAAAATCATCCTTTATGCAAATACAGAACCCACCATCGCTGGTAGACATCTGTGGTTGGCATAATAATGGACCCCCAAAACGGTCTAATCCCCGGAATTTGCTATTTTACCTGGCAAAAGGGACTTTCGGTTGCCAATCAGGCTCGCTCACCTTAAGATGAGATTACTGTGGTTTATCTGGGTGGACTCAGTGTAATTACATGGTCCTTAAAAGTGTAAAAACAGAACGAAACACTACAACTTTACTTGATGCAAATCATATCTCTGCAAAGAGTACATTCCAGTTTTCTGAACAGATCTTATAAGAGTTCTGTGCTAGGTTCTTCATATATACTTCCCAAGTTTTGTCAGTTGTCATCAGTATTAGCCATGTCAGTCATGGAGTTCTTCAGATACTTTGCTGTGAGTGCAGAAGGGCTGCATATCGTATGTGAAGAGAGAGTTAACCTGGAGGCCACTTCCTCTGCTATTTTCTCTCTCTTTGTTCTGCTGCTCTCTCTCTAATTCTTCAGAGAGCTCTTCCAGCTTAACTTCCTCTCCAAATCTAACCTGCTCTTTTCCCTCGACCTGTCCAGTGTACCTTCTTGACTGTGGCAAGTAACCGTTCTACTTCATAGTTTAATTTTCAAGAATTTCTTGCTGCTTCCTTCTTTTCATTTCATCTTCGGTTTCTTTACATATTTCACATAGTGTCCCTTGGCATTCTAGAGCTGAGAATTCTAGTATCTGTAATCTGACAGGGTTCGATCTCCTTGGGTTGTTTTTCTTGACTCTTACTTATGGTGGCTGTCTCCTTTTGGTTTAAGGAATTTATTCTGTGGGGTCTTCTTTTCCTCTCTCCCTTCCTTTTTTCCCTCCATGTGCTTTCCTCCCCTTCCCTCCCTGCCTTGGGGGAATTTCCTGTATTTCTTTGTGAGGCCAATAATTCATTACAGCTTTTTATTTCTTACATTTTACCATGATCAGTGTGGTGGCAAGAGTTCCTTCAAGGTATTTAGCAGCTGGCCTCAGTGGTGGAATGACAAGTATTCTGCCAACGATTTTCCCAGGAGAGGATTTGTATTTGTTTTTGCTGGTAGCCTTGGTATGCTACCAACCTCGGGCAAATTTAGCGTCCTTCCGTGGTCCCAGCTTCATTCTAAGCCCAGGTTCAGTTCCTCGATTTTTAAGGAGGTCAGGGTTTCGATTCTGGATCCCAGCGCTGGGGTCCTTCTTCTCCCAGATAGTAGCCTGGCTTTTGTGTGTTTTTAAAGCTTACTGTTCCCTGTTCTGGTCTCAGCTCTTCCTCCCTCTCCCCGCCCTCCTCCTTCTATCCTCCCCTTCCTAACTGGGAGATTCCCTTTCCTTCTTTGTGCCTCCAACAATGCATTACAATTTTGTTTCATTGTAGTTTACCCACAATCAAATGTATAGTGGATGAGTCCCTTCAGAATGTCCAGTACCCCACTGCAGAAATGGTAGTGAAAAGTATTCTGTTCTGCCAATTACTGTGATCCCATTCAGGGTTTTTTTTTTTTCCCCCCCTCTACGAAGATGATAATAGGTAGAAGGAAATATTTAATGTGGAACAATAATTCAAACATTCAGAACCCACAGTCAGCCTCAAATACGTTTAAAAGGGGACACCATAAATGAATAAATAAATACAAGTAACATGTCTATATAAAGGAAAACTACCGGCTAAATATATTTTGCATGCGGTAATTGTGTCTTCTCTGGAGGAAAAAAAAAAAAAGATTAAACAAATCTGTAGTGCTGTGAATACACTAACAGTGTGTTTTGGGATTTAACAGGTCCAAAGGACTATAGCTAAGCAGATTCAGATGGTGAAACAGATTGGAAAAGGTCGCTATGGGGAAGTTTGGATGGGAAAGTGGCGTGGCGAAAAGGTAGCTGTGAAAGTGTTCTTCACCACAGAGGAAGCCAGCTGGTTCCGAGAGACAGAAATATATCAGACAGTGTTGATGAGGCATGAGAACATTCTGGGTGAGTTGGTCCGGCAGTGTTCAGGGTTCCCCAGCTTTCCTCCGGCTTCTGTTCACATCTGCCTATGAACTCATCTGTCTAGACCTGTTAGGAAATATATAGACGTTTGCTCCTTGGCCTGAGCCCAAGAACGTCACGGGCTCCTGATGGGAGACCTCACAGGAGGAATGACTAAGGCACTTCTGTGAATGGATCGCGGGCTGGAAGTGGAATACTCTCCAACAGTTTTTTTTTCTTCAGGGACAGGAAATGCACATGTAACACCAGCATTTCTTAGGGTTTCTTAGGGATCTGAAGGAACACATGGTTCAATGTTGTGAAAAGTTCTAAAAGTTTTCTCTGCAGGATTTATATAGAGCCAGAGTTTATATATTGAGAATTGAGTCTTTAAAAAAAAAAAAAATTTCTCAAGTTAGCAATGATGTAGCTGAATCATTCAAGTGGAAAGAGTGTATGCCCTGACTCAAGAGCCTGTTTTGTAAACAGTGTCTTATGTCTAACCACGATGCCATGAGCTATTTACTGTGACCTTAAAGATAACTGAAATATCAACTACAAAGAAAGGGATCATGTTTTCAGGTACAGACTCTCAGTGTTTCTCTACCTCTACTGTTTTGATTGCCTCTGATTGGTTTTAATAATCGAATACTGTCATAGGCATATTCATAAAGCTGAATGAAATGCCAAACAAAGACACCTGTGACAAAGAATGATATTTGGGAATATGAATTATTTTTGATAGTGTTCAGAACACGCTTGGCTTCAAACCTTTTTGTCTTTCTTCCTTTTAGGGTTCATTGCTGCAGATATCAAAGGGACAGGGTCCTGGACCCAGTTGTACCTAATCACAGACTACCATGAAAATGGTTCCCTCTATGATTACTTGAAGTCCACCACCCTAGATACAAAATCGATGCTGAAGTTAGCCTATTCTTCTGTCAGTGGCTTATGTCATTTACACACAGAAATCTTTAGTACCCAAGGCAAACCAGCAATTGCCCACCGAGATCTGAAAAGTAAGAACATCCTGGTGAAGAAAAATGGAACTTGTTGTATAGCTGACCTGGGCCTGGCTGTTAAATTTATTAGGTTAGTATCAAAGTGAACAAATATACTTTGTATGATTCTTTTCTCTCACTTTTTATAGATTGTACATTCTGGAGTGCAGTGCTACTAGGGTTATAGAGAAGGAATTTTATTAATTATGATATTTCTTGGGAGGGGAAAAAGAAGACAAATGTTTATTTGAAGAAACATGTGTTTGTGTCCTGTGGTGTCTGTGCTCATCAGTGACCTGGCTTGCAGAGTTGACATTAGCTTGCAGCTCTCACCCAGCTCTTTAGAAAAGATGTACCTCATGTCTTGGATGATTTGGTGAGCATTCTGCATAGCATTTGTTAGGTAGGAAAAGGTTTTAATAACGATCTACATGTTCTACAGTGATAAAGGCCATGTTTTTTTACATGATATGAGAAATGTTAGAAACTAACAAAAGCACACTCAGCGTTCGGCACTACTATACTGGGACTTACACAGCAAATGTAACACCTGCACACATACACCAGCGTGTGTCACAAAACGGGTTTCAGAGCCCAGGGGCTCCTTGGAGTGATGGCAGTGGTTTCTGCAGATTGGGGACGAGGACGCCGGGAACGCCCCGTGGCTGGGGCTCTCTTTTCCCCACCCTCCCTCTAATGGGAGAAGCCCGTTTTATCTTGCAGAGGACTTAATTAGAAAAAATGATTCCTTTGCTTTGAAGACGAAACAAAATGAGTTTGCAAACTACTGGCATAGAGGGATCATCCTATATCTACCTTTTTAAAAAATCAATCTAGGTTTAGCCTTTATTAAATTGTTGCATCCTCTTGTGGGTTCCCCCCCCCCAAAGAAAACTTGATAGAATATGGAGAGGAAAAGCCATGGAGATGATTAAATGTTTGGAAAATAAAACTGATGATAAAGGACGAATGGATTGGCATTTTTACCCTGAAGTGAAGACTGAGGTGTGCTTTAATAATAGGCCCCAAACACAGGAAGGTCTCCACCATTTAGAGGATGGTAAATTTGACGTTCTCATCTTTACAGTCAAATGACCTGGGTTATAGATTTGGGTTAGACATAAGAACCGACTGCCAATAAGAGGAATAAATCCTTTCTCTCTTCTGAATTCTTTTTTCTGACCTACAGCCTTTTTCAAGTCTCCTCTACCAAAAAAAAAAAAAAAAAATTCCCATGATGCTTCTCACATGACCAGTCTCTCTTCTGTCCTCCGTTAAATTTCTTGAGAGTTCTGAAGAGTGATCAGCTTTCACAATCTTGTGATTTTGTGCCTTTTGCTCCCTTCTCTCCTGAGCTGCTTTTTTGAGGGATACCGTTGGTCTTTGTCACCAGAAGCCTTTCTTTTTTGTCATTCCAGGGTCCACAGCACACAAACCTTTCTTCCTGCTGTTTTCTTGATGTGCCTTTATTCCAGGTTCACTTTCTTTCTCTGTGGGTTCTGTTCTCTATGTACCTCTTACATATTTCCCCACTGCTAGATTTCCTGCTGGGTCTGCTTTTTCTTTCTAGTTCCCAGTTTTGGTCGATCCATTCTAAAATGGTGCCTAACATTTCGTTTGTTCCTTAAGTTTTTGGTTTGCTCAGTTGAATGAATTCTGTCTCTGTGACATTCGCATTTGAACTGGGTTCACTTTGGGTCCTCTGTCGTTTTTCTAGATTCTGGAGTAAAGCATTTTGTAGTTACTTGCTCTTTGTTTTTTCCTATTTTCATTTTTCCCCCCCTCCATGCTGCTGCCAGATTTGTCTTGCTATTTTGGATAACATAATAATTTCATAGTTTCCTATAGCTTGGGGTTCAAATAGAGTTTATATTCTAAACACATCTTTAAGTGTTTTTAACATGCTTTTAACTTTACCTGAATGCCCAGCATCTCCTCTTCTGTTCAGGTAAATTACTACTTATCTTCACACTTTATTCCTTTGGGATACCTCTTATCGTTCCCTTCTGAGTCTGACTTTTGGTTAGAATTCTGCCCTCCCCTGTGTGACCCTGTGCATACTGCCATGACATTTCTCACGCTCTTGTCCAGTAATCATTGCATACTTATCTGTTATTTCCAATGAAGACTAAGCTCCATGAAGGTGGATACCATGTTTTTTCTCAAATATACATCCCTAGTGCCTTTCCTTGGTGCCCATTACTTAAGCATTGCTCCAAAAGTATGTATAATGGACAGATGAATGATACCCTGTGAACTACAGAATGAAGGGAAAAAAGCATCTTTTCTTAGGTCCAGAGGTCCTATGCACTCTGGATTAAACCTACCTTCCTAGTTTTATATCCTATAACCCTCCAACTTAGATGCTTTCTTTTGCGAAACTGAAGCGTCTGTGTTTTCTCCATATGCACTCCTTGTATGCTACGGCCTTTCATTCATTTGATGGAACAGCCTCTAGTTTGGAATGCCCTTGCTTCCCCCTGAACCCTAATCCAGTCTCAAAGCTGCCTTTAAGTCCCTTTACCCATCCCCCAGCTAGGAATAATGACATCATCTTCTCTACTCCTGTAGTAATTTCCTGGCCCTTATCTGCCTGATATTATAAGTATTTAGTGCAAGCCACCTCTTGCCTACTCGTCATGGGGTATCTTGAGAGCAGGATCCAGGCCAGATTAATTAATGTATTTCCCATTTGACATGACATAGTGAATTATCCATTATAGGTATTTCAACATTGTTTTGAATCAATACATCTTGGCAATATCAAAGTAATTGAGAACTTTTCTTCTCTATAGGCCTTAAAACAGACAAAGAAGTGAGTGTTATATTTCTGAAACAGCTCTGCTTAATGTAAGGAGAATGAACTAAATGACCCCTCAAATTTCATGCAAACCCTGATTCTAGGAAGTGGAGGGGAATTTTTTAAAGGATAATTCAGAATCAGTTTGGCATACATTGACTCATTCATCGAGAGGAGAGCTTGAGGATACTGTCTCGGATGGGAAACTGTGGCTGTTGGAGGCACAGATCTCATATGGCTGAAGAGTAGCTGTGGGGCCACTTTACTATTCTGGGCCTCAGTTTCCTTCCATTAAATGGAGGTTACCTTTGATAATTTCAGAGGTCCTTTTCACATTTTATTTTCTGTGTTTCAAAGGAACTTTGCTCTTCTTGATTTTGAGCCTCACTTTTAAACCTTGCTTTTTATGTTTCTTTGGTTTTTGCTTTTTTCCTGATTTTCCTGTTTGGGGGTACTGCACACACAGAGATAGTTAGAGATCTTATTACAAGTGGGGTCAAAGCTAACCCAGTGTGGAGTTCTCAGACTTTGTAAGTGAACTTCCTGTGAGAATTGAATCTTTACCATGGTCTCTACATGGTAAGTGTTCTCTTAGGCTTTTAAGTAATTTCTGGGAGGTTCCAGGGAAGTTGAGAGCCACAGAGAGAGCGGACTATACTTTAGAGATTTCCTGCTTATATAACTTTGTTAACCCTGTATGCATTTTTTCATGCACTCTCTTGGAAATGATGTAAGTGCTGATATATTTCCTGCCCAACAGAGATTTAATCCAGGTGATGCTGTAGCAGACACCACAGTAACCCCAAATCTCTCTGGGAAGGAGAAAACAAATGACCCGTGAAATCCCTTAAAGGAACTGAGAGATCTTTTCACTTTTTACTTTGGAGCATCAAGCAACCCTTCTGGTTCTTCAGTGTTAGAGTCAGATATTTTCTTACGGGGAACTTAAGTCCTGGTTTAGGGCTTCTCCATTATTAAATTTTAAATAGAAAAACTACAGCAAAGACTGATCTGCAACAGAGATCTCCCAGATGATGATTGTCGGGTTGTCCAAATGCAGAGGAGGTGGGGTGGCCTAGCACAGAGGGCACTGCATTTCCCCCTTTCTCAGGCCCTGGCTGCTAGCCTTGCTTCCCGTTTGTGTACTTAGTGGTGTTTTTAAGAAGTGACACGCCTAAAGGACTCTCCAGAGTCCGAGAACTAAGCGAATTAGTGGCAGGGTCAGCACTTTCAGTCAAGATTTCTGCAGCCATATGCACCTTTTGAAGGGTCTTTAGTTCCAGAGTTCTATTTCTCAGAAATCATTGAAGCATTGAATCCTTTCAAAAGAGCAGCAGAAAACCCTCCCTCATTGGTTAGCATCTGACTGGGCAGAATCGAGTGCAGCAGATCAGCTCCACAGCCACTTACCAGGTGCTCCGGGAATACCAAGGGGTGTGCACAGCCCCTGCTCCTGGAGGCTCATGACGGTCTCTCATGGTTACTCCAGTCTGCCTAAGAGAAGGTTCAGTAGTCTCTGGTATATTTCACCGGGAGTGAATTCAGAGATCAGTTTCAAGCCTCGTACACAAACCAGTGGCCTCGCTCACCTGTCTTCTGCCCCCTGCCCTTCTTTCATTGTTCTTTAAAGTTCAGTTCTTATTTTTGGAAAAGCTTTGTAGATTATTGAAAGTGTGCGGTGTTTGCTTCTCTTCTTTCTCTATTACCTTTTTACCTCCCTTCTCCCTCTCTCCCCTTTTCCTCTCTCTGTTTTAGACAACCAGCAACACCCAGCAGAAGACCACCCGCATGTGCTCCCAAGGCTCAACGAGGTAGAGCCACCTCGTTGACGCTAACACCTTGAATCCCCAGCTGGTTGCTTATGGCCACGGTGGGCTCTGCGTGTGACTTTGATGCAACTCTCCCTGCAGCTGATGGTACAGTGGGGAAATGCGCTGTGCTGAGCCGGTGGCTCTTTCCTTTACATAATACTTCTTGCAAGAATTCCTGCTATGCATTTATAAGTAGGAGGTTTAATGGACATGAAAGATCGAACTCAAAACCAATTTAAGACAAAGACTGTATTTTTAAAAATCCACTTTATGATACTCTGCCACCAAAATAAACATCTTTTGCCTGCACTTCAGCTGGTGCATCACGGCTGAGAGCACGAGGCACGCCTTGTGCCCCAGTCTCATTGCTTTTGCCCAGGTTCATGCTCGGGGCCTCTCGGGCTCCTGGCTGGAGGCTCTGCTTTCAGCCCTTCTGTATTCATAAGAGCTCTGCGCTGCCCTCTGTTGGTTACTTTAACA